TGTCTCGGACGAGAGTAAGCATTGGCTTGCTTTACATAATATGCTAAAATTCCGCATTCGTCATTATTTTATTAATCCTTCCGGTGCCTCATTTCCTGCATGTTGCATTAGGCGACCACCATATAGTAGGATTCTTAAATTTAACAACGCATTAAGATATTCTATATGAAAACGTGTTTGTGCATGTGCGTAGGAAAGTATATACTCTCCGCTGTAGAGAGCGCCCCTCTTTTCTTCGTTCGCCCTAATCCTTAAGTTAAATTTATGACCCTCCATTGTTTATTTTCGCCTCTTCCAGTCCGAAGCTCGTTACGCCCTGTTGCATAATTATGGCTGTAGCCATTGTTTCGTGTGTTGGTTGCTGTCATACCCTTCTAAGTTTGCATTAGCGTGGCCTGTACCACTGCTTTTTGGGCCGCTTAGGCAGTTACTTTTCATATATTACCCCATAGATACTTCCGCCCTCCCTATTAATAGGGAGGAGTTCCTCCTGCACTCTATTGCTTTTTCCCAAACCCTTTCCAATCATCGCTGCCGTTGTCTTTTCGATAAAAAGGCATCGATTTTAATTGGCTAAATCTCCTCATCTTCCAGCGATTGATAAGCACTTACTAATGTGTATTTGGCAAATTTACCCCCATTGAATTTAGAGCACCACCCCCTGAGGCAACTTGTGAAACGGCTTCAAAATATTTTAAATACCCTTTTATTCTACCATAGCCTGTTCAATTGTTTGATGACCTTCGCCGCATACCGTAGGTCTATCCTTCTGTTATACTAGATATTTTTCACCCAAGCTTTATGTACTGTCTGTGAAATATACAATAGTTAATTCGTATGCCTTAGACTTATTCGTAATTCGATAGGGATTGCCTACTTTTCTACTTTCAAAACGGCTCGTTCAATTGAAAAATAGTTTCTTTTAAATCCCAGTGATCCCCTTTGCTATTTTTCATGAATTTCTCATATGTCCTTTGTCATAAGGAATAAGTCTTCGACCGATTATTCAAGTACTCTGTCGTATGTGACCCCCATCAGCATTATTATAGAGTTAGTCACTAGTTTCATCTAGTTTAATCTTGCAGTGCCTTAAATAGCAACGCCGACTTTTTACAGACTTCACCATGTTATCCTTTTTTTTCTACAACTACAGCCGTTTGGTTATTTCTTTCACTTTTTCTTGCACTAACTCAGAAAAAGTACTTTTGCAAGACCTCATCCTGTTGTTAAGACTATTGATTTTCGTTATTCTTCTGTTTTAGGTCAAATGCCGGGTTTCAGAGAGTCTAGGTACGTCACTGAGCAAAAAGGTACGTCTAATGACTTTCAAATTTGCTCCCGCTTCATCCGTTATTTTTTTTGAAACACCTCGTCATATATTAGAAGTATAATTTAAGTGAACACGAACATGGAGTGTACACGATGTTTATATTATTTTAACAGCTTCAATGCACTAAACCTCAAACACATGAAGAGTTTAGCTTTGAATTAGTCCATATGTCCATAGTCCGTATGTAAAAGATATTAATTTTTGTTGTTGCTTCTCTCAGTGACCTGGTCATCGAGCTTTTTTGTCTACTGCCCGAAGTGTCCTCCAATATATCCTAATTGGTATCTCTGTTTTTAACCAAAATGTGCTAATTGCTTTTCCCTATACATTTTTGGAGTGAGGCTAGTCCACTTACTTAAAATCGAGTCTTCTCATAAGTCAGTATAGTTTTAGTGGTCTCTAAAGCACTTGCAGCAGCTGCAAAATCATTCTTTCCTAATTCCGCCCACGGCGCAGGCGTGTGCCGCGCCTTTCCTCCGTTGTCTAATTCTTTGTATATCTCACTGTCTGTTTCGTACCCGTGAAAGCTCG